AGAGAGAGAGAGAGAGAGAGAGAGAGAGAGAGAGAGAGAGAGAGAGAGGGTGGGGACGGACATCAAACCGCTAGGCGAATTGTTTCTGGTGTGAATTTAACACCGTTGCAGGCAGAATCCGTCTCGTTAAGCGGTTATGTTTCCCAGGCGCCGCATAGCTACTAGCGCTGGCCCGGTGGCGGTGCGGGTGCACTAAAAAGAAGCCGCTAAACGCCTGGCACTCAAATTGCCCATTATTCCTCGAGGTTTGCTGCTGCCGCCGCCGCCTCCGCCTGTACAAAGTAACACCTCCCCATAAATGCGCGCCGGAAGATGACTTACACAGTCGTGCAAAAGAGAGGGCGACAATCCCATTAGCGTTTGTTACACAGAGCGCGGCGCACTTGCAGGGACACCGCGTCCCGAAAGCGCTCGCGGCGGACGCAGCCCAGGTGGCGCCAGACAACACATGCAGGCCCGTCATCATACTTTTACAGGCGGGAGCGAAGGGACGGTGCAGCAGCATAGCAGACGGACTTTACTGTAGGCCAGCAGACCAATCCGGGACGCGAAAATTGAAGCCATCCATTTTTATTAGGGTAATTATTATGTTGCGGGGCCGTTTAGGAAGGCGATACTCATTTTGTGGCGCGAGACGCAGGGGTAACGCACTCTTTATGTAAACATGAGGCGAAGAAAAAATAAATAAAAGGCGGTTTGATGACTCTTTTGCTTATGGCATGGGGAACACACAGTTCATACGCAGGCGCTAGAAAGGGGTGAAGAAGACATCCGCGTGAGGACAAAGAGATACCTACCTTTGCTCGTGTTGTCGGGGCTCCGAATGACGGTGCACTCCTCTATGGTGCCGTAGGCAGAGAACAGCAGACGGACATCCTCTTCTGTCTGTGTCTTACTGAGCATGCCCACGAAGAGCTTCCGGTCTGAGCGGGGCGAGGAGAGCGGGGGTAGCAGGGTGGAGGAGGAGAGAAAAAAAAAGAAAAACAAAAAAACAGAAATTAGTAAATTGACAGAAAAAAAGAGAAAAAGAGAGGGCCTCTTACGTAGAAGCGTGTACAGACTAAATACATATGCATCCACATTCGTAAACACAACACCGATAGCAACAACAACACGGAACATTCCACAAAAACAAAGCGTGTCTCGAACGCAAATTTCTGCCTGTTTAAAAAAAAACTTACAAAATAAGATTTTCTATAAAACTATTTGTTTTTGGAAGGGGTTGACTTCAGAATGAGGGCAACAGAAATTTGTATTCTAGGCACCAGTCATTTCATTTCTAATCAAACCAAACCAAATGCGCTGCAAAATAAGGACAAAATCAAAGATAAATGAAAATAAAAAACTGCATGCTTCTCTTCTAAAGATGCACATCAGGAGCCGAGATCATCGTGGGCTAGAGCTAAACCTTGTTTTCAGTAATAACTAGTGATTTAAATAATTGCGGTACGTTGAAACCTGGAGAACGATCGATAGAAAGACTTAAGGATCACACTTATTTTAAATTTTATAGATGTAGGACTTTATGAGTAGTGTTCAAGTCGCATTTTTCAGTGTTCGCATTCCAGGGGTATTTCATAAACAAACCTACTATAAATTTAGGGCGAATGAATTTTATATTTTTCTTTTACTACCCGATTCTGTTCTATTAAGTTTCTTTAAGAAAAGAGAGAGAGAGAGAGAGAGAGAGAGAGAGAGAGAGAGAGAGAGAGAGAGAGAGAG